CAGTGCAGAGAGAGGAAGAGAATGGGCCAGAACCAGGGAGAAGGTAGTTACCCACTGTATGTGGGCAGGGCCGGGACCCCAGACCGGCAGCGGGTTGAGCGGGTCTGGCAGCTGGGATCCCGGCTGGCAGGAGCCGGCTGATGGAACCCCTGAGCGGTAGTGGCCTGAGCTGCTCAGCCCACTGCTGGTCTGGGGTCCCGGACGCCGGCCCCGCACAACCCGCTGCCGGTCAGGGGTTCTTGCTGCCGGACCCTTGCCAGCCGGGGTCCCGGCCACAGGCCCCGCTCAGCCCGCTGCCGGCCTAGGTGAACAGAACCCCAGACCAGCAGCGGGCTCAGCGGGCCGGCGGCCTAAGGATCAACATTTTAATTTAATTTTAAATGAAGCTTCTTAAACATTTTGAAAATCTTGTTTATTTTACAATACAACAATAGTTTAGTTATGTAATATATAGACTTATAGAGAGAGACCTTCTAAAAAAACATTAAAATGTATTACCGGAACGTGAAATCTTAAATTAAAGTGAATAAATGAAGTCTCGGCACACCGCTTCTGAAAGGTTGCTGACCCCTGTCTTAGACCATCATTTAAAACACAGTGGCTTTTAGACACTCCATATTACAGCAGTGACCAATATGTTGTTTTTTGGTCTGCTCCCAGACAGGAGTTTGCAACCTTTTCTCTCCGATTTGGACCTTGCTGCTGTTATCCGTGGCATTGTCACCTCAAAATTACATTACAGTAATGTAGAGTAGTGTGGTCTAGTGGATAGAGCAGTAGATTGCGACTCATGACCTTGATTCTATTCCTAGCTCTACCATTAGCCTGCTCTGTGACGTTGGGCAAGCCAACTTCACCTTTGTGCTCAGTTTCCCCATCTGTAAAATGGGGATAAAGATTGACCTCCTTTGTAAAGCACTTTGAGATGTAGTGATGGAAATTGCTATATAAATTATAATATGCTCTCTATGGGGCCACACATTAAATCCATTTGAAAACTGAAGCTGGTGTAGAATGCTACAACTCACTTGTTAAATGGTGTATCTTGTAGGGGAGCACACAGCATCAGCACTCTGATCTGCGTTGGCTGTCTATTGGTTTGAGTGAATTTTAAAGAGTTGGTTTTGACCTATAAAGTAATAAATCATTTGGGACCTGTCTACTGGAAAAACTGCCTCTCTCCCTATATGATACAGCCACACGTGCACTCTGCAGAGATACAGAACCCCCTTGATGGGGCATTCTCAGTGATGTCCTGCTGGCTTTCCAAAATAGCTGTAATCTGTTGACTTTTAGGACATGCTGCACCGACCATCCATTTGCTCAGGATTTTGGCAATGGCTAAACTGTGTGTGTGTGATTGGGTTTTAGGTTTGTTTGGGTATGTTTGGCTATTTTGAATTGATGGCTAGTTAACTTTGTTGTGTGTGTGGTCACTGTTGCTCTATTGGGTGATTATTCCTTTGTGGAATATTTTAAATAATTATCATGATGGCTAAAGGTATGGATGTCATTTTTTATTAGAATAAAAAACATGCAAATGTAATATTTACTTTACATACATGTGTATTATTTTCTAATATTCTTTTCATTCTTCTGCACTTATACTAATTGTTGTAATAGTCCATTACATTTTTGACTTCTGAGGCAATTAACTATGTCAGGTGGTCTGTTTTGTCAGTTTTTTCACAAGTACTCATGTTAAACTTCATGTATAATAGATGATGTGCAACTGTAGTTTATGGTATCCTTTTAATATGAATGACCTCAGGGACCACATGGAATTGTAGTAGACCTGTTGTTGCTCAGATTTTCCAAAATCTTCATCTTGGGGGAAAAGACCAAGCCTGGAAAATTTCAGCTGGAAAGCCACAATTTAAAGTGGCTGAAAACAGTTTGTGTACTAGCCTGCTGTGATAAAATCTTAACTGTCATGGTCAGTGAAACTCTTGCTGTAGTACAAAATATGAATTGCTCAGTATAATCCAGTGAGTTACATTGATTATCTTATATTGCCTATCCATCTACATTGTTTGTGATAGCTGTGATGTAACCACCTGATTCATAGAACAACAGCGAAGACTGCAACCCACGTTGGTAGGATCTGGTGGAGAACCTTAATTGAATTGGTTCTGATGTATCTCTTGTAATTTGTAATGTGTGCGCACTTTCTGTTTCAAGATTATGGGTCATATAATATTGCAGTTCACCTTCAGGCTTTCTCAAGGGATGGAAGAGTTACTCACACTAAATTTGTTTCTCACCATGTATTAGAATAAGTCTTTAGTGGTTGGCAACAGAAAACGCTAACAGAGTTTTTGCTTTAATCTTTGTGTAGTCTGGACATTAGAAGCATGTGAGTTGCATGTTTTGGGTTGAGTAAAAATGTGTAACTGTTTTAAATTAAAATATGTAATGGACAATAAAAGTTGAGACCCAAACCAGAACTCTGTACCACAGGGGTCGGCAACCTTTCGGAAGTGGTGTGCCGAGTCTTCATTTATTCACTCTAATTTAAGGTTTCGCGTGCCAGTAATACATTTTAATGTTTTTAGAAGGTCTCTTTCTATAAGTCTATAATATAGAACTAAACTATTGTTGTATGTAAAGTAAATAAGGTTTTTAAAATGTTTAAGAAGCTTCATTTAAAATTAAATTAAATTAAAATGCAGATACCCCCGGACTGGTGGCCAGGACCCGGGCAATGTGAGTGCCACTGAAAATCAGCTCGCATGCCGCCTTCGGCACGCGTGCCATAGGTTGCCTACCCCTGCTGTACCATCTACTTATGAAAGCAAAACCAGTAGGTCCTCTTCCTATGTACTGTTGGTGCCTAGCCCTTTAGTCCTAAGATTAGAAATGCACGTGGTAGATATCTCACCTTGAAAGTTTGAATTCTTTGTATGTTTCTCTAATGGTGTTTTTATTTACATAGGTGCTGATGTGACAGAACCCAGCAATTCAGATAGCCGAGTGGAGAGATCAGACCTTTACGCAAATGTTGATGAAGCACTCCTAGGAGGTGATGCTAGCTACCTATCTCAGCCTCTTACCCCGGAGAAGGATGATGCACTTCAGGCTGCGACAGTTGCTAACCTGCGTGCAGCCCTCATGAGTAAGAACAGCTTGTTATCTCTGAAAGCTGACATGCTGGGAGAGGACAGTTCTCTGCTATTCGAGTACTTACCCAAAGGCACACATTCTTTATCTCGTAAGTTTATACTTTTATATTTTTGCTTAAAGATTAATTTAAAAACTAATTAGGGAAAAAGGAAATTCAGATCACTCTAGATTTATTACTCCTTTGCTATTTAGATCTGTGTTAAACTTCTGTATAAATGCACATCCCACGAGGTTTAGAATCCTGTTGTCTGTAGTGTTATGCAGCATAGCTCTAGTACCAATTGTCGGACATACAAAAGGTATTAGGGAGATATTTATTACATTGATTTGGACATTGTGCTAATTGACAAATCACTAGCATGGTTTTACGTATTTAAAGAGTATGGAATATTTGACTTTTTCAGTTAAAGAAGGGATGCTGTGTAGGATTTGGATAAAAAATTAATCTTAAAGCCAGGTGGGAAGGAACTGCCACTCCAGTACATTTTAAAAATAAAATAGAGTTGTAGTCATGTTTGTAGACCCAACAAGCCTAATCCTTTTTTGCTTCTTCCTTTGGATTTTCTGCATTTGATAATGAACAAATACAGTTTCTATAGCCATACTGACTTCCCTATGCTTATGCACAAAGAGTGATACTTCTTGTTTGTTTGGGGGCTTTATTTTAGGACTAAATATTTGATGATTACAAAAATTGGAATTGAGGAAGGAAGGAAAATTCTTGATAGCATCTTGTAACTAGTCACTTGTACATTTGCTAAGTATCCCCAAATAATCAGGGTACATGTGTTTACAGTGTTGCTGTAGCCGTGTTGATCCCTGGATGCTAGAGAGACAAGGTAGGTGAGGTAATACCTTGTATAGGACCAACTTTTGTTGGTGAAAGAGACAAGCTTTTGAGCTTACACTGAGCTCTTTTTCAGGATAAAAGTGATCATTCTGTGCATTCATAACTTAAAACATACTTTCTTCAAGTCTGAAGCATGTGGAAACATCGTAGTTCATAGGATGATTTCCTGGTTGCTTCAGGTTATGCTCTACTGGTTATGTGTACACACCATTAATAAGAACTTGAGTATATATGCTTGCCTGTGTTGTAAGGTAGTTCTGTAGTTTCTTCTATGCAGAAGTCTTTTGTCAAGTGTTTTAGATAAAACTTTGGTAGGCTGGAGAAAATAGAAATAACAACCATATATGCTGTATTGAGATGGTATTTTCAGTAGTGGGGGAGCAGAACACTGGCTGGGGCATCGTACAAAGCAAAAGATGGCAATTAGCAGTATATGCATTTCAGACTTCCAGAAAAAAAAAATTAAGGCAGTGAATGACCCAAATAAACAAAGTGAAAAGAACATTTAGCACATATTTGATTTTTTATTATTTTTTTATTTTTGAAGGCCAAAATGTTTAGGTCACCTTTAAGCTAACAATCACCTGAATTGCATGATGAATTACAGTGCAGTGGCAATGCAATTAAAAATAACATAATGGCAAATCTTAATATATATATTAATTTTTTTGTTGAAGTTAGTCTGGTTTTAAAACTAAGGGGGGTTGGTGGTTGTAATCTTTTTTTGCAGCTTGGGGTTATGTGTTTCTTTTGTTTTGGGGGTGATGTTTTGCATTTTTTTTTTTTTTTTAATTGGTAGGGTAACTTCTTTACTTTGGTAATCTCTCTAAGTAAATAAGTAGAATATTCTGTTGTTCAGACTACTCCTAGAGTGCAAATGGCCCCATTGCAATGAAGCAGCACATGGCCCTTTGTACCACCTAAACTCTTGTTGCAACTGTATGGAGGAACCTGTAGGCAGAGTGTTTGCACAGGGGCGTTTTTGCCCTCCTCGCGTTCTATAGAAAGGGTCTCCTCACTAGGCCTACAGGTGGGTGGAGGCTAGAAATAGGGCAGGTCAAGGGAGGGGACCTGGGATCAGTGTTACATGGACAATGCGTCATGCCCACTGCTTCTAGGAGTAATAGCATGATGACGCAGTTTCTGCCTTCATGGGCAAGAGTAACAGCTCTGGGAGGATGCCACACTGCAGCCCCCTCATCTTGGCCGTAGATTGGCAGTTATTTGATTTCACATCCTTGTGCTTTCACCAGCACATGAAATTCACCCACATAGACCCTAATTACTTGGTCTTCATGCAAGTGAAATGCATTTCTTCTGAAGTTAAGAGAAAAAGATAATTGGTCTATAGTTCTTGCCACAACCATGCCCAAAAGCCTGGGGAGACTCATTTTACAGATGATTGAATCAGGGAATTGGGGGGAGGGGACCTTCCTCTTTATTTTTTATTAGACTCCTTGCTGTTTGTTAATGTTTCACTAGGAGCTGCTGTCATAATTTTGAGTGTACTTGTTTTATAATGGTCCCTTCAATCTGAGTATCTTTCTAATGTTAATTCTTTAGTGATATTTAACTCTATACACTAAAATTTCTCATTAAACTTTATATCCTGTTGTTTTTGTTAAAAAGCCATAAGTGATAGCTTGTTGTTAAATCTGTGTTTAGGATTAAACTCATAAGTTATAACGTATCAAGTGATTAGGGCACTGCTAATACATGAACATGCGATTTAGGTTAGTAGTCGATCTTTGGATTTTTTTTCCCTCCCATTATTTCAGTTCTTTACTTTCCTTCTCAAGCCCATGAGTTGAGGATTTTGTCATTTAAATCTTTGAAAATTAAAAAAAAAAAAAAAAAAAGGCAGTGAACAAAGTTCTTTAAAAAAACCCACATTATTAATCGTAGTTTTGTTTTCTATCTTGTCAAATCTGAAAATGACGTGCACTAACACCAAGCATTTCTAAATGGTTTTCAACCTGAAGCTTTAAAAAAAGAAAAGAAAGTGTGTTGGATCTTAACCATCTGTTGATTCAGTTGTCTTCCTGACCCAGAAAATAGTATTGTAAGAAGATTACCTAAATAATGTTGGTAATATTTGCTGTCCTTTTTGAGTAAGGTTGAGGTAAGGAGGAATAGGTTGTAAGAGTGTATTTTCTTTGTTTGACATACTCATGAGCTTTCTAAGGGGGGTATAGCTCTGTCACTGTTAGGGATGCAATGAGGGCAGGGAATCAGGGGGCCGAGGGTTCCCCCCCTCCTTGGCCATAGACGGGGAGGGGAGGAGAGAGGGTCCCAAATCTCAGGGGTGATGCGGGGAGGGGAAAAGTGTTTCAGTCAGTCAGTGTCTCTCCTGTGGGAGGAGAGTGAGAAGAGGTCATGGCAGTGCAGGAGGGGGGACGCATACACACAAATGCATCTCTCGGGCTCCCTCCTTAGGAAATTTCTGGTTGCACCCCGGTTGATGTAGAAATACAGGGTTTTTTTCAGTTTTTCTCTTGCATAGTTTATACTGTTGTTAGAAGCTAATTGAGAATACATAAAGGTGCTCATCATACCTTTGCTGATTTTTCTAATGGATTTTAAACCTGAGAAATCTTTGTGCTTGGTGAGTAAAGGGAACTGCTGATTACTAAAAGGCTTAGTTTCATGTCAACTTTACTGTGGTTCTGTATTGTAAACATTAAGCTAACAAAACAAAGTAAAAAATTCTGTGTAAATAAACATTAATTTTAAAGGATGTACAAGCATTGTACCGTTTGTAATGATGACACTGAAAGAGAAGCATGAAATCCCTAATATTCAATTAATAGACAATGGAAATACAGGATGATTCTTGTTTCAGTGGATATTCATATATTGTGTTTAGAACAACTGAGCAGAAGGTAATGCAGTACTTTTAAACTTCACCAATTCAAATCAGCTTAAAAATAAAAGTAATAAAAAAATTAAATTTATTTTCATTTCTTGCCATTCAGGTAATGCTATAGGAAATAAATTGATCTGATTACTTTATCCATATTTTCCATAGTTAAAAAGTCAGTTAAGTTTTCAGTTTTCTGGTGATTGAAATCAACTCTCTCTTTAAAAGACCCTTTTCATGTTTTCAGATTAGTCTGTTATAAAGTTCTCCATATGTCTGTTTGGCTCTTCCTGTTTTCTCTCTCTGTTTGTTTATAGAAGCAATTCCTATGAGGCGTGTTATACAACAGATTGCATGGTAAAAAGGGCCATTTTCTTTTGGGCTAACCAATTAATATTTTATTTTTAGATATTCATTGAAGCCAATAATTTATACTTTCACTAAAAGTTAAAGGAATACATTTACACTGTGGTCAGTTTTCCCAAGTGGTATTCATGTAGGCAGGGATGTTTTCTTACAAGATTTAGAGGAGAGTTGATGTCATTTTAAGCATGTCATAATGATCTTGGCATTTCAATTTAAGTTTTCTACAGGAGTTTACTGTTAAATCTGTTAGTGCTCTTGGCAATGGAGGATACAACTTTCATGTAGCTATCACTGAGATCTTCTATGCATATTTTTCCATGAACAGTGCTGACTACAGGACAATTGATAGTTTTAATTTCTGATTAAGAAAATCGTCTTGCTTCCATGAAAGAATTTAAAGAAAAAAATAATCTTAACATTTCTTACTATATTAACGAGAATGGATTAAAACCTAAACTCAGACACTGTTTACTTACTTACATGCATAGTACAAAACATCAATGATATACCTTCATTTGATACTTGCAATTGGTGGAAACAAACAAGTAGATATTAATTGTTGTTATGTATCTATTTTATGCTGCATATCTTTCCTTTCCATTTTCAGGAGTGGCATATTGTTTCCCCTTATGCTCCAAAAAATTGCCTATTCCATCAGCCTTCGCTGTTGCTTTAATAAGTGGGAAGCTGTTTACTTCACATTTATTACCAAGTATAGCTTTCCAAGGGAACTAGCAAGGGAATTACGAAAGCTAAACCACTGTTTCTTTCTTTGCTAAAGTTCAGACTACTTTTAGCCTGAATTGGACTCCGTATGTAAGTTCTCTAGAGTCACAATGCAGAGCTGCAATGTAAACAGGGCAATCTGCATCAGTATTGTAGATTTAATCAGAACACCAGTTAATCTCATATTTGTGTAGGTGAACTGTGATTGTGCAATTACCTAAAGTGGTGTAATACTATAAACTTGATTTTTTTTCCCCCCTGATTCATTTGAATGTTGAAAATATTT